TAAAATTTGCATCAGCGCTTCACTACAATTGATGTGTTTTGATAACATTTATCCAGTTTTATTATTATATATTACCACTCACATGTTGCTTTTTGATTAATTCTCTATTGAATCAGAATGCGAGGAGTGGTCCCAAAAAATGCCGTCAAGTATGTTTTCTTTGAAAGGGGAAAGGTTTTATAGCCACTCTCAGGCAGAAAAACTCGACAGTATTGTGAGATTCTCCAGAAATGGCATACTCACTGAAGCCCCTCAGTCGTTCAGCACATATCCCAGCTCAGTAATGCCTGCAGCATTTCTTCATAGTGGGTAGCGTTGCTATAGGTTTTCATACCGAACGTATTAGTCATCTATTCTCTGTCATACACATACATACCTTTATACCTATGTACATGTAGAACCGAGCGAAATAAAAACCTACTATTGGTTCCTTGCTCTATTTTTGCTCTCCCGTACCCTACTGAGCATTATTTGCCTCACCATTGGTTGAATATCAACCCATTTGCCCTAACGTATATGCATGGCAAAATTGTCAGCAGTGAGCCTGTCGCCAAACGTCAGTTCCAGCTGTGTCTGGTGGTCAACCCACCTAGCACATTGGAGTAGGTGATTAGGAGTATCCTCTTCGTTGCAGCATACGCAATTCGCATACTCTCTCTTTCCTACCCTCTTCAGGTAGCTGTCAAAACCACCATGAGCCTTCTGGTCCATGCACCATGGCCGCTTGCATCCCATCTCTCCTGCCATCTGACAAAAAGAGCCTCTCTCCTCACCAGCAATGCATCGGTCGACACCGTTCTGTAAGCGCATACCACGCGCAGCACTACTTTTCGCTGGCTTCTCAATATTAGCTGTCTATATTGCTTTTTCCTCAAGGCCTTATTAAATGGCTCCTTACGCTACAATCGAGTTTGCGACCCCTTGCAAAATCATGCGCCTCTCACTACTGGAGCCTCCGTCAGATGGCATTAGCCGTATCAGAGACGCAATGACCTTGTCAGTGGTGCGTCTGCGTCAAGTAGGTTGACTCAGTATTTTCCACGCAATTCTAGTTGCCCCTTCCAGAAAGTAGTCAACTGCGAACATAAATTAAAGGTCAAGTCAGTCAAATACACTTATCCAAACAAATGAATGATTTGATGTTGCCCAGCATCGCGCTGAACTGGTCCACTGTAAATGGCCGTCCAGGAGAATCAGAAATTTGTTGTTGAAGAGAACCGGATTTGCCAACATTTCCCACTCGACAACGGCACTATTGTTTTCGGAATGGCTATAAGCAAGCTTGATAGGACATATCGGAACACTCAGTCGACGAACCACCGGCGCAGTGACAGTGACCGTGCCTATTTCTCGACGCGGATATTATAAATCATTCATTCTACTCGTAAGTCTATAAGCTGCGTAATATTACCGGGGCTACAGATATATAAATATACGAGTACTACTGCCAAAAAGATACGCCCCCCCCCCCCGCCCTCCAATTTTTCATCCCTCAAACAATTTTTCAAAAATAAACACTAGTAGTAGTAGTAGCTCCGCTGCCACTGGATCAATTTTCAAAAACTACAAAGCTTTTTCGACCTTGGCCTAATAGTAACCATGTGTAAACATTTTATTAAATTGGTAATAGACGGGTTTTTCGTGATGTATGTTTCATATAACATCTAAAAAACTTGATATCTCATTTACGATTTTTTTCGCGATTGCAAAACTTCCTCGCCAGTAGCGTGGAAGGTAGAAAGTAGGGAAATAATCCACCGACAAGGCATTCTCAAAATGTTTGTGCTACTTCTAGCCTACTCCGGAATTAACGTGTGTTCCGGCTTTCAATATCAGCAGCTTTTGGAGTATATTTTGATTACAACATATTGTATGATAAGATTATTTTCCAAAAATTCTGCTTATATCTTGAACTTTAGAAGTACTATCTCTATTCTAGAATATCACGACAGTGGTGGGTAGTAGGGCCTTTGCTATTTCCGGTGCAATTTAAGAAATTGGATTCCCTGGACACGGATGCAAATCTCATTTCAAAGTACTTGCTTATTATCTCCGATCTATTCGCTTAGGATCTAGAATCCCAGACCCAGAGCACTCTGCGTACGGTGAATTTTGAGTATCATATACAGGGTGGATAAAAAAACAGTAGAAATATTTCTAGAGCGGAAAGTAGTACATTAAAAACAATTCCTATAAATATATAAATAGGTCTCCTCAGACCTCCTTTGAGACAGAGTGACAAGCCGATCTCTGCCGCTGAGCTGGAAAAAAGAAGACTAGCGACGACTTCCTCTTTGACGCAATAATCTTGTACAGTTTAATGCTTCCAAAACACAGTACTGTACCTTGACGAACAAAAAGCGCCCTGGCGCTCATCCGATGGATGGCCGAGTTCTGCTAAATAGCCAGTCCTTTCGGCTAGTCGGAGTTCAGATCACCGAGGACCTGATCTGGCACGAACACATCTGGGAAAAAGCTAGGATATTTGTTCAGGGCTAAGAAGTACTTTTCTCCGCATGACCTTCTCACTCTATACAAGGCCCAGATAACGCGTAGCCTCGAGTATTGCTGCCGCTCCGACTACATTCGGCTGCTTCGGTATAAAAAAATAGGTCCTAAAATGTGAAGTCAACATTTGCAAAGGAATTTTACCCTGACCTGAAATAGCATTTAACCTTGACACGACCTTGACTTTTAGGTACAGGTCACATTTGGATGTAAAATTTCCTGCTTTTTTTCATTTCCTTTGATATTTTTTACTATTCCCTGAAGGTAATAGGTCATGGTCAAGATAACATTTGGGTGATTCCCACAAACCTCACAACTGTGATGTCGAACATTTTTGCTACAGTCAAATATTTCTAGCGTGTTGATTAGACATATTGAAGGAAATAGTCATGGTGATGGTCATATTCGGACTTCAATGTGCTCCTCTTTTCAATTCCGCAGTAAAAAAGGAGGTTCTACTTGAACATGTCCACTTGACCTTGAAGTGACCATAAACATCGTGGTCAAGGTCATTGTCGAAGATTAAAATTGGACGCACTGTATAAATGTGACCACGTGTGGAGAACCACACTGCCTAGAATACTAATCCCACATCGAGTGAGTTGCTGTATCGATGTTATATTCGGACGACCCTATCAACAGACTCAAACACCAGTTAATCGTTGTATGGTTTGCTTAACATTGGCGACTGGAATTACGTTACAGCACATACGGTCTTCTGCCCTTGCCAAGCAAGCCACTTAATCTTTAAATATTAAAAGCCGGGCATTGCAATGTGAGAACGTTCGCATGTATGTTCATGGAAAAGCAAAATATTTCATGCACACGTTTACGTATACAGTGCTTTTCAAAAGTCCCACCAACTATTATTTGAATTTGTCAAGTTACAAGCTGAAACTCAGCAGATGAAATTGATGCATGATTGATATATTTTGGCATAATCAAATTTTAAGATAGCGTTCCCTGAATACATTAAAGATGAGTTAGTTTCCGTAAAATGGTGCAGGCAGTCGTACCCACAGAGGCTAAGCCACCAAACTGTAACACCCTGTGTCTCCAATAGAAAACATTTCTCGGCTTTGCGCCCATTGAATCATTTCTTTTTAATTGACCGTGGGCACAAATTTCATATGATTTGTGCCTGGTACGTTGCGTATTTAACATGAATTTTTGTACACCTTTGGGAATTTTTAGGATCCACCCTCTGAGGAAATTTGATATCCCCACTATCCAAAATGTTTTAGGGGCAGGTGCTTTCACAAAAAGCTATCTCTTGCCGATGATCGGTCCTCTTGGGAAAAATTTCTGTACGCGCCCATGCATCTTTCACAACACCGAACTGGCAGATTATCATTATATTCAGTGACTTTTAACCCAACAGTCAATGATCAATCTTTAGATCCAATTTTCGATACCCTCCAGTATCGTGAAAATGGTCAATTTTGGTTCAGAATATCGAAAATTGGATCCAAATTCCTATTCGAAGAATGCAAATGCTTTTTTTTTTTTTTTTTGGTGAAGGGGGAATGCATTTACGCACCATACCATAGCCCGAGCTACGGCGTGTGTGGGACTCCAGGGTCTTGAGGAGATCACCTAATACCCACTAAACCCTAAACCTCCGCGTGGCCCGACTCATCAGCGTCTCGGTAGGCCATGTGTTGTGCGTGACCTGCGGTCTGCTACAACGTCTCCTCATGTGTTTCAGTCTCTGGGAACGCCGGGTTGGTTCCCTTTACCTCGCACATTCTATCGATGTCGTTAAGCGATCATCGATAGAGGGTCTGCTAGGTTCTCTTGAAACTCTTGTTTTCGAAAAATCAAGAGTTTCAAGTCCTCTTACCAATATGTTGTTCCTGGTCCTGGTCCTGGTGGGTCCTGGTCGTGGCGGGTCCTGGTCCTGGTTGGTCCTGGTGCCTTGCAATGCCCGAGTACAAACCCCCATTTATAAGCTGCTTGATGCCTGTCCTCGCACGGTGATACCGTGGTACAGGGGCGGATGGGATATATCGGGTCGGCGCAGGCAGTACTGCGGCATCGAATCGGCGCCTTAGGATAATTTATTAGGATAGGCAGATTAGTTGAAAAGCGAAAAAAATTGAAAAATCCATTTTTATAGGTATATAAATATTATAAAGAAAGTTAATACATTATTTTACTATTTTTAACAGCTATTAACTGATGAGTAGTAAAAAAATATATTTTGCACATTGCACACTAAATTAACAAAACAAACTAACACGCAAGTATTAAAAAAATGCAAAATTATATAAGTACACTTAAGTAAGTATTTCATAAACAACATAAAATTTACAAAAAAGGCCAAATGTACAAAGTTAATACATCAATTTATTTGAAAACATTGTGCTTATATGCCCTAAACCATTAATAATTTCGTCATTTTCAATTCTATTTAAAATTTCTTTTTCGCAGTTCATTATCATGAATGCTTCCAACCGCGTCTGTGATATTGTATTTCGTAGTCGGTTTTTAATATATTTTATCTTAGAATATGATCTTTCACAAGCTACTTGTGAGATTGGTAATGTAAGTATTTATAGGCTAAGGCAAGCGTGGGATATACTTCTTGGTACATATTGTACTTAAATATTATAAAATAACAACACAAAGCACAATTTTTACAGCTTTTACACTGACTGTTTCCCTCATTGCATCCTAGGACTTTCTCCGATTCTTCAGTTGCACCACCTTCCGTTTTAAAATGTAAAGAATGCTGGTCCTGAATATTTAATTTTAATGAGTCCCAGTTTGATATAAAATTTTCCAATTCATTATGCAGACCATCAAGAGTTACATTTGAATTGATTAATAAAAGTTTTTTGGACATAGTCTTTATCTCTATCTTATATATATATATATATATATATATATGTATATATATATATTATTCGTCGACTATATGTTCCCTTCACTGTTGTTTAAAAAACAATTTCAGCAACAATCTCGCCGACTTAGAAAGTAAATAATTTTCTCCTAATTACTATTAGTTGCTATTTTTATAATTGTTTCCAGCTCCAGACGATGAAGAAAAAATTCTTCGAAAGCTTGAGATTTTAAGTTATAAGAGTGTATGTACTTTTGCAATACTTTGTCTTCTACCCAAAGAAATTAAAGGATATATATATATATATATATATTCTTTTATATCACTAAAATTCTTAGGATCCAAGATACTAAAATCCTTACATATCTCAAAATTTTTTTGAAAGCGGTTTTCCATTGACTATACGATAGTATCAAGAATGACGTTAAATGTCTCTATTTTGTATCTGTCATTTTTATTCCCCGATCTTTCATCAGAAGACCCTTCTCCTGGCATTTTTTTAACTCGTCTTGTCCGTACTTCTGGTAAATCGATTTCCATATTAATGTCACTATTTTCTGGGTCAGTTTTGTCTATTTTATCTAGCGCCCACGTCACAAAACTATCAGTGAATGTCAGGAAAATTTCGTTGAAAATCTTTCAATTGTTCCAGGGCTGTTTCTGCCATGTTGTTGCATTTGATTAAATCTAACCCTTCTGTTTGCTAATATCTAGATAACGACCCTGCTGTAGAAAAAATCTTAAGAAACACTTTAGCAGTTAGAATAACCTCATACTTTTGTAAAGATTCTCGGTAATTTTTAGCCATAGCACGAACATCAGGATTTATGGTTGAAGTAGTTTCGATAGATTCTAAGGCAAATAAAAGTTGAATAAACAGTGCATTTGTTGAAGAGCCGTAGGTGCCAAATATTTTCGTGAGAGCTGATTCTTTTGCCCACCAACGCGTTTCACCAATGGTCTGTAATTTTCTCTTCTTTGCATCACCTATATTTATTTTATTCCAAACATCCATTCGTTGATATGATTCCTTAAAAAAATACGGCTATTTTGTTTAGTAAACTAAATAAATATGACGCTTTAATACTAGTTTTCATAACATCGCCAATAATCAAATTTAATATTTGGCTGTATCATCAAATATGCACGTATTCAATGTTTTCTTTTGTTATTGTAGCAACGAATCCCTTATCAACTTCTTGCATATTTGAAGCACCATCAGTCGAGTCAGCTATGCACTGCGTTTTATTTAAATTTTTTGATTCTATTTCATTTATTATTAAATTGTGTATCCCGATTCCTGTAGAATCATGACAGTCGACAAATGAAAGCAATCTCTCAAAAACTTGTCCATGAAATACATTACAAGAGATAATTGATCTGTAGTAGACACATCTTGACTTGTGTCTATTTCGATAGAATACATTTCAGCTTCTCGAATTTCGTCTGAAATTATGTTTTTCATTTTTTTACAGATAATGACAATTATATAGTTAAGAGTAGTTTTTGACAAAAAAGATGTAAAATCTCCAGGGCGATTTTTATTCCTTGATCATGTATTTCTTTGTTTTGTGGAATTATTTTATTTAAGTGTTCCCTCATTATTACGTCATACTTGGATATCAATAATATTATCTCTAGAAAATTTCTAGGTTCTCGTTGTCCAGTGAGTGACATGCTTAGTTTTCCTTTCCTCTATAACTTAACCCTTAACCGGCGTTGTGGAGTCCCTTGGACTCCAGCAAGTATATACTAGTTAATAAATTCCGTCTCCGTTTATTAAACAGAGCGCGTCGTTCAGTACCTTCGTATGGTGGGGAGACGCGACGCGTGGTCAGTTGACTTGAGTCTATCATCAAGGCAAGTGCGTGTAGCAAAGAACGTAGAGTCCGTGGGACTCCGGGACGCAGTTAGAAGTATACTTTGAATTTTGCAACAATGTATGGGAATCCAAACAGAGTTAGGTTCACAGATCCTAACTTTGAAGAAACTGTGCAAAGGTGGTTTGAAGAATGTGACGAAGAGTTTTCAGATCCAGATGCAGATCCTGAGAGCAATATTACATCCGAGAATGCCATCACAAGTGATCACGAAACGGGGAGTGAGCTTTCTTACAGTGCTTCTGATGATGATGGTCAAGATGTTACTGAAAGTGGAGAGGCCAGTGAAACAAGTGAGCCAGTTAAAAAATATTTCTACGGAAAAAACAGATACAAATGGGCTTCTACTGAACCAACCCGAAATGTAAGAACACCAGCCCATAATATATTGAAGTTGCCAGGAAATAAGAATGCTTTGCCAAACATTGAACCGGTGAACGCATGGCGAAAAATTTTCTCTGAGGATATACTAGACATTGTTGTGCATTACACAAATTTGAAAATCCAGGAATTTCGTTCTAAGCCAGGCAATGAAAATCGCACAGAATACAGGGAAGCAAATTCTGTTGAAATTAATGGTTTTCTGGGACTTCTGCTGTTAACTGCTGCTTTCAAGTCTAATAATGAGACCATTGAATCAATATTTGCAACCGACGGGACTGGTCGAGAAATCTTTCGATTGGTAATGTCAGCAAAACGATTCTCCGTATTATTAGCTTGCCTGAGATTTGATACTCATGAAGAGAGAATACTAAGAATAAAAACTGACCCAGCTGCAGCAATCTCGCATATATTTAAAAAATTTAATCAAAATTCGCAGTCAGCTTACAGTTTAGGAGCGAACGCAACTGTTGACGAGATGTTGGTCGGTTTTAGAGGCAGGTGTAAATTCAAAATGTATTTACCAAGTAAACCTGTAAAATATGGTTTGAAAGTGCAATGTCTTGTTGATGCTCGCACTCACTATATATACAATACATATATTTATTGTGGAAAGGGTACCGATTCGCTAGAGGATATAACAGAAGAAGAAAAACGGTTTTCTATTCCAACGCAAGCTGTTGTTCGTCTTTGTAAGCCCATATTTGGAAGCAACAGAAATATCACCGGCGACAACTGGTATTCCTCAATAGAGCTCATAGACTATCTCATGAAAAACAAACTAACTTACGTGGGGACTTTAAAAAAAAACAAACGTGAAATACCCACAGAATTTCTACCTTCTAGAACAAGACCGGTGGGATCCACACTGTATGGCTTTACAAGTAATAAAACATTGATTTCCAGAGTACCAAAGAAAAATAAGGCTGTACTAATGATTTCTTCGATGCATCACTCCAAGCAGGAAGACAACGGTTTGCCAGAAATCAATGCCTTTTATAATAACACAAAATCTGGGGTGGATGCTGTAGACGAAAAATGTAGTAAATATTGCTGTAGCAGAAGAACGCAACGGTGGCCTATGGCTCTGTTTTACAGAATTGTGGGTGTGTGTTCAATAAATGCATTCATCATCCATCAGTCTTGTGCCAACGCAAATAGGCTACACAGAATTGATTTTTTGAAATTATTGGCCAAACAACTGTATGAACCACTTCTCCATGAAAGATCCCAAAAAACAAATTTGCCAAGAGAGTTGAAAGCAGGTATTGTCAGAATTTTGAAGATTGCCCCGGAGGCACCAGCCGATGGTGCAGAAACTTTGCCTAGAAATCAGAGACAATATTGTTTTATCTGTGACCCGAAATTAAAAAGAAAAAGTGGTTATCTATGTGTTCATTGCAAAAAACCAATATGTTTACAATGCTCCAAAAAAATGTGTATTCAATGCATTGAAAATGTAGAAGAATCATAATTATTTCTTTCTTTTTTTAGGAATATTTGGTCCTTTGTTATTTTTTTTGTTTTAGGGTTGAAAGTCAATGTTATTATTTTTATTTCTAGTTCAGACATTGTAAAATATGGTTTCAATATAAAAAGTTGTTATTTTTTTGTTTTGTTTTAAAAATGAGAATCAATAGAGTGCAATATTTATTTTTGTTAACATTTTTAGTTTTAGATTATGTTTGCATCAGTTTTTTTTCTTAAATGATTATAAAAATAAAAGTTATTTCCATACATATCTATGATTAATTATTTAACTAAAAACCACTGTTTCTTTCAAAAACTTGAAAAAGAACACCATTTTTTATTTTGGAGTCCCAACGCCATATGTGTTACAATTTTCGGCCACGCCGGTTAAGGGTTAAACCCCTCTTTCTAATCAGTTTTATTACATTTATAATACTATCTAAAACCTGCCTATTTCTTGTTATCTTTTTTTGTTGCAAAGCCAGTTGACTTGTAAATAATAGTTTATTAATTGAAGTATTACTACAAAATCGAAAATATGCAGAGGAATAACTGACGTACATTACGGAATTTTGGTGCTCTTCAATACGTTGATACACGTGCCTCCAATCTGACACGCCAGTAATAAAAGCACTAGTATCTGTGCTTTTACTAAACGCCAAACAAACCGTGCAAAACAATGCATCTTGTGATGAACTATATGTTAACCATTGTCGTGGGGTTCCATTACTAGTTTTGAAGGCTGCCTGACGGTTAAATTTCTCGTGACTTGTTGGGACTTTGGGGTGGTATTGAAAAAATATATTTAATTCTCCTTGAGTAGGTCTTGTGAAAAATATTCCGAATTCTGATCTTCTACATTATTTCTAATTTCAGGGTTCGGGCTTGGATTATGTGTAATTTGTTCATCGTTGACCATTTCTTCTTTTGTTGACAAATGATCCTTTGACTAGTGAATGTTCTTTGCGCTTTCCGTGTTTTGCAGTTCGCTTAGTATGACGCAGCCATTGTCTGGACTTGTGGAACTGTCTGTGGCGGACACAGATAGAATTGTGTTTTGTGCTGATGTCCTTCCAAACATTGATTGTAAATTTTTACATTTTGGTGCTTCTTGAGCCAAGCGCTCCTTTTTATTTTCCCTCTGCCTTTCGGCGCCGTCTTTTTTTCGTTTTAAATTAGAGGTATTCATTTTTACTACAAAAATAATATATCGGTTAGTTACCTAAGTACGCTTGACAAACAGCGTCATATTACCTAAACGCACGCTGAACGTCGGCACTGACACACCTACACTGACACTGCTGCAACAATCAACAACTGTTATTCAAACCAAAAACTCGAAGGTAAAAAGATATTTTATATACATAGGCAAAGAGGCTGCCGACGCACCTGCGTGCCGTACACGAGAGCCGTTGTTAGCGATTCGCAATGCTGCTGAATCTCATATGTGGCATTTTTATCTCGGAAAATCTTGCGGAGTGCGTTCAAAAACTGAAGGACATTTGATTTATAATGGTTTAAAATTATCCAGAAATAAATTTAAAGGGGATATTTTTTTTTAAATTCTAGAACAAGTTAATGAGAGAAATTCTATTTCAATGTACTTTTTAACGGTGCCGTAACGGCGCCAAAGCAACCGGCACACCGGGCAATTGCTCGGTGACCCGGTGGGCCCATCCGCCCCTGCCGTGGTAAGTCCACGAGGCGGGTTGGTGTAACTAGAAAGGGATTGGAGATACCTGACCAATTCAATTTGTTAAACTTGCACGCCAGATCGGGCATCGAGCAGCTTGAACGTACAAGGGAACTGTGGCTTGGGTAGGATTGAATTTGGCTCTAACAGTCGATCATGAAAGTTGGTTGGCAGCTGGTGTTGTAGACTGATTGCTTAGGTCGTCTTCACGGAATGGAGGAGATGCGTGTTCGAATCCCGCCGGTGCCCTTTTTTATTTTCTCTCAAGTTATTGTTTACTGTCACTTTTATTTTTGTAAAGATTTTATCATCCAGAATGTCTACTTGATCTCTTCAAAAGATAACTGGGGGCCATTTTTGTAAATCACTGTATAGTAGCAAACAGATAAACCTGTGGTATAAACAATGAAGCGATTTGAAATTTAAATAGCAGTAATTTATCTGTCTAAGCTTGCTGGGTTAAAAAACTGGTTGCGAGTACTTAGATGTGAGCGACAAAATTGCGGAATGCATATTTAGATATGCAAATATGGTTCAGCTTTCGACATGGAAGAAAACGATCGATCAAGACATTTTTTAAATGGTGCATGAGTCGCTGTCATTCAAGGCAACATTTACTCCATGCGTTGTCTCAAACAGAGCAATACCAGAATAAATAAATAGCGTTTATTACCCAACAGTTAAGGAAACCATTTACAGGACAATCCTAAGAAAAATAAAAGCAAATTAACGAAAATAGAAAACACAAAAAGGAGGTGATCCCATCTAAAGGAAAAAACAAACAAATTATTTGAGTAATTTCTAGCTACTCCCAAAATGCTGTTCAAACTGTCAGCATATATATTACATTAATCAGATATTGCATTGAAAGTTTCATACGTTACATATAATTTTTTTCTTTTATACTCCAACTACCACGAAGGCCTAAGGCCTAAGCACCCATTAGGTACCGTGGGGCTATAGGGGGATACATGGGAAAGGGGGGGACGCCACACGGACTCTGGCGAGGGAACACGTGTGCATGCAACATTCACACACTCTGGCTCCGCCTACGAGATCCGCCGGGTGG